AGTGCTCCTCTGAGCTCTTCTGCCATTTAATATAGGTATTATTTTCTAGAGAATAATCTATTACTTCAGAGAAAGGTATGAATGAATTCAGTCTAAAGCTGAGGTTATTGTAGCAGAAGATTTTACTGCAATGTGATGTGTGCATTTTGCAAGGACTTAAATTACGATGATGTTGTGCCTGAATTTTTGACACAGTGGCAGGATAGTAGGAAATGCTATCTCACTTAGGGAACAATTTATCGAGCTACATATATAGCAGCATAGCAGAAGATGGAATAGAACTCTGCAGCAAAATTCTGATTCTTCTGTGACAGAATTCTTTTACCATGAAATAAGAACCCAATGCTCTGGTTTTCCACGACTCTTCTCTGTTGGCATGTAGATGGCACAATAGGCTGTGCTTCAGCAGAGAAATGCAGAACATCTTCCCAAGAAAGATCAGAGACATATAGATTTTAGTTTCCTCTTAAAAATCCGGTATGCTTCTTTTACCAAGAATCTCGGCAACAAAACTTAATGAGGTCGAAGTTTCTGTGTGGTTTCTGACTCCCTGTGTTTTATCAGGTACAAAAGTTTTTCCTCCCTTGTATTACATTTAGATGTTTTAGTATCATATCCTTTGTATTCTTAACTTGTATTATGGTTATGCCTTTCATCTTTGACAAATATACTTAGTACTTTCAGAGAACACCATACTGTCTAAGGATTGCACACTACAGAAGCAAGGGGAAAATATCTGCATGTCATTTGATGACAAGTTCCAAATAGAGTAAGAGAAGTGAGCTGTTGGCACTTAGGTTGGAATACTCAGGAAATGTTGAGTAGTGTTAGAAGAGAGCATATTGCAGATTCTGGATAGCATGTGTGTATTGTTTAATCTCAAATAGAGACATCAACATCAATAAAGAAGCTGATCTTTTTTTTCCTAAAAAACTACTCTGAGACTCTATATGCTGTTTACAGTTGGAAGTTTATAGCTGATTTATAGTTTAAAAATTCAGTAGCTGAATCTTTAGATTTAATGTTGAATTTTTAGAAATGCCACTGTTGTTTGGAGTTTCCTTCAACCAACTCTTAACCTATGATCACACAAGGAAAGCTTTTCTTTTCTGTGAATAAGCAGAAGGAGGAAAAATTCTGTGAACTCTCTAATATAAAATAAATTTATTTTATTTAAAAGTAGATCTGTTAATATGTCTATCAACCTTGACATATGTTTAAATCCAGTGTTATCATCCAGGACAAAGATTTATCTCATTGATGATTTGTTCCCAGAATTATCAGGTACTTAAAATTGGTTCTGCTGGCTGCTGCTGTCTCAGGTATTTCCAACTGTCATGCAGGAGGACTTTTTCCAAGAAGCAAAGGTGAACAGTGGGTTTAGCTGCAGTACATTATTTCAGCAGCTAATTTAGAGTTCCCGACTACCAGTCACCACATACAGAGAATTCTTATAAAGTCCTTGATAAAGAGATTCAGTTTGTTGTCCCTGTACGCTCTTTGAATTGCTCCTAATGCTGTTAATGGGGTGTCCGTCAGCTTACAGATAGACGAATCTGAAGCAGAATTTCACTCTGCTTTCAACAGGATATATGTGCATACATTTAGAGAAGGAATGAAATTTTGTATTTTCCTGGGTTTCAGCTCCTTTTTTGACTCCAAGGAAGGATCGTGATCTGTTAGAGCTAGAACTGGAGAGGAGGATGTTACAGAGTTCTTGTATTACCATTCTACTCAGGAGAGCTATCTGAAATTGTCAACTTCTTGCTCATCATTTCTGTGCATCTGTAAACCTATAATTACAGGTCAGGGCTGCTTCTTTCCAGGGCAGAGATAAGTTTCTCTTTCTGCTTATTCTCCACAGATTTGCAAAGCCTTTGCAGCTCCTAGAGTGAATTGGATTCTGTCTGTCTCCACACGTCACTAGCATTGCTCTCGTGTCTTTCAGTGCTGTTTTTTCTTCACTAGTGATGTCAGAACTGTTTAAGTTGCTATTTTGAATTTCAAATCCCACTTGAAATTGTCAGAAAAGCAAAATCGATAGGATTCTGGGAGACTATTCCCTGCATAGAAATGAAGAATAAGACCTACTAGCACTTCTGGGAAAGTATTACAATACGGGTATTTTGTTTTGCCTCACTTCAAGTTTGGAAGTGTTTAAAAAAAGTTCTTTATGGCCTTCACATTTGGCCTCTGAAAGAAGTAATGCAAATCTCTGTCTCTTATTTGAATCAAAAACCCTCCAAAGATTTGGAGGTGAGCAGATTTTCAGCTTTCTCAGTTTATCTGAATTATTTTGAGTTATTGACAGCAAACTTTACTTTCCCTGCTAGTCAGTTGTGGTGGAGATGTTTTGCAATGTAGCTATGCTTAACACATGAAGTTTTCTCTAGGCCTACTTCATAATACTTTATTTAGTCAGTTTAGTGATGCTTCAAGGTTTGATTTTTTTGGGCTTCATAATCAGTCTACATTCAAAATATAGTTCATAAAAAGAGGAAGATGAAAACTCATTTTCATTGTTAGGAATCATAAAATATCACAAGGCTTCTCTTTCTTTAGCAACAGATGAAAAGAGGAGTGTATGAGAGACACAGTTCTGTGATGTGTTTCATTTCATGCGGTGCTTCTCTGAATCCTGTTATTGTATATCATCCCTAATGACTGCAATGCCTTGAGTCACAGTGTTGATTTTTAAAAGCTTTCACTTTTTCATTCTTTGTTCTCAAGGTTACATTATGCAAATCACAATGTTATATTTTTTGCACTAGTACAGGCTGTATAAAAATATTTTTAATCCTGCTGTGAAAATTGAAACAGCTCTGCTCTGGGGGAGAGGCTTTGGGGCTGTTTCAATTGTTCCCAACTTCTAAAATGAACTGCTGTTTCATCTTCTGTCTGAAAAGGTGTGGGTCATGTCTCTTGCCTTTAAAAGTATTCCAAAGTGGTAATAGCACTCTCTTGCTTTGGTAATTTGATTTAGCTAATCGCCATGAATTGCAATCCACTAAGAATTATCCAATGGTAGTTTTGCTGTTTAAATAATTATGAAGATGAAAGAGAACTTTTTCTACTTTATTATAAATGTGAGAAGCCGGGCTAAAAATATGAGGGAGGTACGAGCAGAGGAAAGGACAGACTTCTGATTTTATTTCAATGGATTTGTATTCTGGATAAGAAGGAACAAGCAAGTTGATTTAAATACATTATTCAAAACTTCTGTTTTGACTTGATTAAATCCCTGCTCTACCAGTCATTTTCCTTACCATGCGACTTTTTTTTTTCTTTACTTTCTGGTGAGATGGGGCATTGTGTCTTTTAATGTTTTGCTAATGTTCCCCACAGAGCTTTTATCCCAGCTGTCTGAGGCTTTTGGCCCCTCTTGGGTTTTTTGCACCAAAAATCCTCTGGAAATATGTGAGAATTGTGAGTTCTTTGCTCCATCAGTGTGAACAGACACTTTGCAGAGGGTACCACGGGCTGGGGGTTGTCTCTGAGTGGAACCCTTGGATCTGGTAGACTCTGGTAGAAAGTGTTTAGTGCAGAGAAAGCTATGAAAAAAGTTAGTAGTCAGCCAGGTTAACTTTTACCACAACTCATTTGTGCATTTAAACCTTGACTATATGTCTGTGCTTTGCCTTTTCTTCTGTGAACTACTGAAACTCTTGTAAAATCCCTGACTACATTATACAGGGAAGTACGGAAATACTGAGGAAATCAAAATAACAAACCTCCCCACAAAAAACCCAAACATGAACCAACAGAAAACATGAGCTGTAATGTTTTTCTGGTCTTGCTATACCTTTCTTGAAGTTTGCCCCAAAATAATCAGTTGTACATTGCTACTGGAATAGGGCAATTTCTTTGATTTTTTCTTTAAATTTAAAAATAAGGAACTAAGTGTAAACTGTCAAGAGGTTTTTTTACCAATATTTGCTGCTGCTTGCTCCATTTGCATTTGCTATCAACATACATGTATTCCTCAGCAGTCTGATTTTGGCAAAAGCTGGAAGGCTTTCACTGAAAGGCACAAAAGGAGTCTTTTTCCCCGTGCTCTTGTCCCACTCCAAAAAGCTTTCCTGTGAAGCATCTCTGGTAACACACACTGGTTAAAAACATATATTCCAGAGCAATTCTATGCGTACTCCTGTATGGAATGAAGAAAGAACTTGGTGCCAAAAGATGCTACTTTTGTCAAAGAGACCAGTAAGACAGGACAGTAAGCATACTTATGGAGATTCTTAAGTGCCTTGCAGAAAGAGTTGCTACAGTCAATATTGAGTGAATTTTGACCAGGCAACTCTAATTTTCTGCAGCTAATGAACACTTTTTAGGTATTCAAGGATAAAGAATAAGATCTATCAAATGACAGAGTTCTCTGAAGTCTTTTTATCAGAACAAAGAATATACAAGAAGTTTTTTGAATTGTTATTGAACATTCTAAATATCCACTATGAAAGGCCAGTAGTAAACCTCATACATGAGACAGGATTTTGGGAAGGAAACTGTTGGTCACCCAATCTCTCACTAATACCTTGGAAAGACATTGATCCTGTAATGTCTTCGCATGTGTTCGCATGTGCTGTAGGCACTCCATCTTGGTTCCCATTGTGGAGATCATCTTCTTAGATTTTACAAATTGACCTAATTAATTTGGTCAGCCTTTCAGCTTGAAGAAAGCTTGCACAAATGGCTTCTGCCCAATGCTCTCATTTTTTATTTTAATGTTGTGAAAGCAGGCTCCCCAGGTGCTTTGGCCAGTCAGCTGTGCTTAACACACAGCAGAAAATACTTGTGTCGGGGGGAAGCTGTGAATGATCACCAGGCTAGGATAACCTCTCTGGGACAGCATTAGTTACAATTAAGCAGCAGACATGGTATCCAAGGAAAACCAGGCAGAGCATCACTTATGTAGAAATACAGTTTCTTCTTTCAACAAAGTGTGATCAAGGAAAGATTGGAACAAGGCACGTTAGCAAACTCTTTTCTTTCCTTCCCAGAATTACAACAACAGCTGCTTGTATGATGGACCTGAGGAGATATCCACTGGATGAGCAGAACTGCACGCTGGAGATTGAAAGCTGTAAGTACTTCTGCAAATCCTATTTATTGTCTGGTCAACTGCTTTAGAATTTTTATTTCTGTCAGGTTCTGTTTTTTCAGGTTTTGCTCTTTTGTTTTGTTTTGTTTGTTTTTTTAACATGCTACTAACCCAGTTGTCTTTCTGTCTGATGATCCTTGTAAACACATGCAAAAAAAATAGCTTTCCAAATGGATTGGTAATTTGTGGCATGAGGATTAGCAAAAATTATTCTGTGTTTTGATGGACAATTTACAGCTTTAAAAGTCTCATTCAAATGCCTTACTGGAATTCATGTGAGGAGTACAAGGATTATTATCAGTTATTTATCTTCCTTTACTGCTGAACTGTATGGCAGCTTATTTCCATTTATAAGTGAAGGCAAGAGGTTAGAATTGTCCTTGAATAGATGCTTTGCGGGATTTTTCCCTAACCACTGTGCTGTACTTAAACTTTCAATGTACGTAAACAGTTTGTTTATATATATTGATTTAATGGCTGGTGTCTATTGAACTTTTTATGTAGATAAACCTTGTGAAGTAAAAATCTCTCTTTTCTCTGAAAAAGATTCAAGATCACTCTTACAATGACAATATTGCAAGCATGTTATTTAACACTCTAAGATTATATCAGAACTTTCAAGATGTCACATTTTAATATGCAGTACACAAGTAAGTGTAAAATAAGTTCTGTATTATGAAATACGTGGGATTTCTGTGTTTAATTTGTGCTACTGTCTGGTAAGAACTTGATACAGCTGAACTTCTGTTTGAGAAAGCATTTAAGAATATGCTTTATATTTGTGTTCAAATTTCGTTCATTTTACTGGAATTTACAGATATGCTAAAATTCTTGTGACACTGTTGCCTGAAATAATTTCTATGCATAAGTAAGCAGAGTGAGACTATTAAAATTCTGTGTGCTGATGTTCACAAGCAGCAAATGTAGTCATGGACTTTGCACTGAGTGGATAAAATCTAGTTTGTTTGCGTTTGTGGGGTTTTTTTGTAGTTCAGTGTAGATTTTCCATTGATAGCATTTGATTCAGAATCTCACACCTGCAGCCAGCTATTATACCACCAGTATATAGGTAGTATATATGGACTGATTTTAATGTGTGAGAAAACTATTGGCATAATTCAGACTTACAGAGATTTTTATTGAGAAAAGTTTTGCTATGACAGTGACTTTTAATTATTCTTGTAGCAAGGACCTGGTATTTTTCTATTTTTCAATTGTATGTGTAAGGTGGGAAGCTGGAGAGTCAGAAGAAATCCTTTCTCTCTGTTTATAGCATTGTTTAAATGGCCAACAAGGTCTTGCCATCTCTCTGCATTGCTGAGATGACCAAGTCTTATTGGGATTCACAAACTAGATATTCCTCCTCTCATCCTTTCACAGCCCGGCCTGTACAATATTTGCAGGAAATACCTGTCATGTCCCTAGGCAAAGAAGAAAATTAAGTTGGGTGTCTGCTTTTCAATGAGAGCACTTGTTCTCATTCAGATATGCAATGTGGGACTTGTAAATTGACATTACCTTTTTATCTGATTCAGAGTAGAGGTTTGATGCAGATCACTTATCTTTCAAGAAACAGTCCAAAAACTGAGGTATTGAGTGGCCAAAGTTGTTGTTCCACTTGGTATAAAAACTTAATGCTCATTGTATCATAGAGAGGGTAGAAGCTGAATTTACTATAGAAGTTGGGATGCCTGGAGCAGAGGTCATTTGTGGATTTGTGAGCTCTGTTGCAGAATCACAAAGGTAAAATGGATTTAAATCAGGATACTATGTGTAGCCAGTCTATTTCATTGCAATAATAAAGTCCATTAAAGACTGGGGATAAAGTAACACTTGTACTGTGTTCTGGAGCACTGTCACACTACTTTAGAAAATGTTTGGTCTTCATAAACATCCTGATGAAAACCTGTCTGTCTGCTCTTCATGAGTCACTTAAAGCAAAAATGCTGGTAGGTAGATGGGCAGGGTGAATAAGATTGAAAGGGACTTTCCAAGTCATTGTATGCAGGTGCTGAAGTCATAATCACTTCTAAAAAGTGGTTAAGCTGCATGCTTGAAGCAGGTTGGTTTCTTGCCCTACTGATCCTATTGGATGCCTGTTTCACCACTGCTTTCTTGTACTAGTTAGATATTCTATAAATTCTACTCTAAGTGTTTTCATGCCTATGAAGGCATGAAATTAATACTAATTTCCTGAGCCTACAATATTTTTTTTAATGCAATGTCTTCTCTGGGCCTCCTGGGACCTTCATAACGCATTTAATGAAAACACTTGTAGTTTCTCATAGACTTAATTTCATTAAACCGAATATTCCAGTCTTTTTTAGCTTTCTCATGCAGGAGTATGTTAAGAGAAATGCAGAACTGGCATTAGTTCTTCATTAGGAATGACTAGTACCTTCAACAGTGTCCCAGATGAAATCTGTATTGCACTATGGCATCAATCCTGCCTTTCTTCACAACTGCATATCACAGGTGAGAGTCTTTTCTGGAACAGTGCAGTAAGGTCTTTCCCATCCTTACTCATTTTCCAGCAGTGGATTCTTTCTAGCTTTTTGAAGAATTTTTTTATATAGTGCTAAGAGCACATGACTTGGTATTTCATAACATAAATCAGTTTACATAAATCAGTGTTCTTAATATTGCTACAGTCCTCAAGGTTACAGTCCTCCGTTTTTTTAATATTTGTTCTGATCATCCTTGGTCCTAACAATGCTGATTTTGTTTCATTAGAAATTTCATCAACATACAAATACTAAAGAATATTAATGCCAAGACGGAGGAGCTTTCCTTATAGTCATTTTCTGTATTGAACACAATCTTTCAGTGCAGTACAATTACTTACACTCCTTTTGCATATCTTTACTGATTGTCTTAGTCTCATACCAAATACTTCTATGAAATCCAGTTCAGATATACATTGTTTGAAAAAGGAGTTATTGTCAAGTCAGGTCATTTGAGTTGTAATGAGAGATTTTTATCCTGTTTCAATACATATTAATGTCTCTAAAGTCCATCCATTTTTCTCTTCCTTTCCTCCCCTCATCCTCTTACTGATGCCAGAGTTAAATGCCTTCTTAACTGCCTGGGCTACTTTTTTTCTTCATGTCATAGTGTTTACTGAAATTTGTGGCCAATATCAAGTTTTTGTTAACCTAGATTTGCAAAAGTATAGATTAATTTGCAAATTAGAAAATCTTGTGCATAAGGTTTGTATATAAAATATAAAACATGATATAGAGGGGATGATTTAATCTATTAAGATACAAGAGACGGCATTTTTAGTCATGTTTCAGTCTAGGGCAGTCTTAGTGAGATGCTGAAAGTATAAGAGAGGACTATTCCACATTAGTTTAAAAAGTATCGGTTTTGTGAAATGAAATCCTGGGTTTTTTCCATGTATAGCTAGTTACACTCTGAGGTGCTTTAAAAACAGAAGCTGGTTGCATATTCAGTTTTGCTAAGATGTTTCTAAACCTGTGGGCTATCATGTCCAAAGGGGTCTACTCGGAGCTATTTTGCTTCTCCCTTTCTTTCGTTATTCTCCAGCATACTAAACAGCAAGGCGATAATACCAGAGGGAAACCAATTTTCCCACATATTTATTTTTTAGTTTCCCAGCTTGCAGGCAACAGAGAGTTTTTTCTTTTTTAGTTGAATATTTACTTGACTTAGTAATACCTGTCTGTTCTGCACCCTACCTCTGCTGTTGCAATTTGTATTGCTGAGTTTCTGATTATTCTTGAGAATGATTTTATTTCTCTGCTGTTTTCCTGCCTTTCTGGAATTGTAACTGTTGAAAGAAATGTCTCAGCTAATCATCCATAAGACTACTGAGAGCTCAAAGGCAATAAGAAGTACAAGGCAATTTGATTGAATACTTCATAGTCCTATAAACTAATAAAATACCATATTGCTCATCCTCAGCCTAGCAGAAATTATTGTGATTATTTTGAATATTTTTAAATGCAGTTATTTAAGATTCATCTGGTACATCTGGACCTTTGTCTATTTCAATTATGTAGTGCCAAATAAAGACAAAAATTTACTTCAATTCCTTCTTATCTTGCTTCATATTGTGTTAAGTCTGGCTATATTTATGTTATACTGAGATGATATTCAGAATCTGCCTTGTGACAGTGGGTTTTTGTTTTGGGGGTTCCTTTTTTTTTCCATTTCTTTCTTGCTGTGGAACAAACAAGAATGCACTGAGTTTCTCCTCAGAAGCATATTCTCAGGAGCACTTTCCATAGTGTATTAACAACGTAGCATTAAAGAAGCACATCTGTCATGTGTTGCCATGTGTTTACATGGCATGTTTACACATGCTAATGAACGAGAATTTATTGTTTTCAGGACATTTCATTTATGTGAAAGCCTGGGGTGTTCAGAGCAGAAATCATTAGAATTTCATTTTCTACTTCATGACAAAGCCACCAAAGAAGCACACTAGGTTAAAAATTTCTGTTCAGTAAGAGAATCTGGAAAAAGCCAGAAACAGTCAAAAGAGTACCATTCTTCCCGGTGGTAGTGGAGCCCAGTACAACCACTTTCTAATCAGATCATCTGTGAAAGCTCATCAACAAGATAAAGAGAAGTCATCTTTGTGTGCTCCAGGTGACTTTATGAGCTCTTTTAAGTTGCTGAAAAGAAATCAAAGCAGCCTTTTGCTGAAGCTTTGAGTACTTTGCAGATGGCTGTTCTGGCTATGATCAATGCTGGGATCAGGTCACAGGGGACAATTGGTAGAACTCGAGGAGCTGACCAGACAAGGCTTTTTTGGGTTAGGGACAAGTGTGTTTGATGCCAGGCAAGAAACCAATCCCCAGCAGTGGGATGTTCAGCACAGGAGGATACCATGGCAACACGTGATTTTCACCAATTGTACAGTAAATGGAAAGCTAAACAAATTACTCTTGGGCCACTGACAGCTAGCATTTTAAAAGTTGTTAATTTTTTCCCTTCCTTTTATCAAACTTAAT